TCCTTTTGTTTACTATTCCCCACCCAATGGTTTTAAAGACCCCAAAACCAGACTCCAGCCCTGGACCACAGGTGGGATATGGGCAGGGGACACAGAGGACATGCTTGTGGGTGTAGGTTCTTGGGCCGTGCTTGGCAGGCAGGTGACTGGCCGGGTGGAGGTGACAGCAGCAGTGGCCGGAGCTGTGGAGCTGTGCTGCCACTACTGCTCAGAAGTGGAACGGCAGCCAGGGCTCAGGGGGAGCACTGGTTCCTGTGGCTGCTCCAGCAGCAGCTGTGAGAAGCAGAATAGAGCCTGCCGAAGTTGTCCATTCACTGTGCAAATCACATAATGTCATCTTTCACAGCACCTATGGAGGACATCAGGGATCCCTGGTAGTGCCAACTGCAAGGAACTGACTCGAATGTTCTATTCACTTTCTGCTTGAGAACGTGCACTTGGCATTCAGACATACAGCTCTCGTTCCAAGTTAAAAAATTGGTTTCATTGTGGGCATTGAGCAATAAGCACTTGCATTTCTCAGGTAGTTAAGCCGGGAAGAAAAGTTGTGTGATTCCAGTGCAGGTCAGTTCCTTCTCTTAGTGACACAATTGACTTACAGAGAAGAACTGCCTCGTAGGCTTTTCTTGGCCGTGGTCTTCATGGAAACAAACTACCAGGCCTTTTTCCCATGGCACCAGCAAGGGGGTTCGAACCACCGACATTTGGTAGATGAGCACCAACCACACCATGTAGGGAACCTGTATTATTAGATAGGGTCTGATGTTTTAACCAAGCTAGATCTATTTTATTGTTATTATTAAATACTTCTATCTCATCACAATCCATACATTCATCCAGTGTGTCAGGCACATTTGCACATATGCCGCCACCATCATTTTCAAAGCATTCTCTTCCCACTTGAGCCCCTCAAGCTAGAGCTATTAGAAATGCTTGGCTTCTTCTTTGAGAAAATGCCCACTGGCGGATGACACCGGTGCAGCCCTGGGGGCCTGGAGTGGGGGCCCACTCAGGCAAAGCTGAGGACCGGGAGTGGCTCCTTGTCACCACACTAGGGCATCTGGTCCAGTCCCTGGAGGACGTGGGCTGGTTCTCCTGCCCATCAAGGAATCTGAGATTATCAACCTCTTCCCGGGATGTCCCTTGGGGACAAGGCTCTGGAGATCATGCCTGTGCAGAAGCAGACCCAAACCAGCCAGCATACCAGGCTCAAGGCCTTTGTCACTGTCGGGGACTACTACAGCCACGTTGGCCCCGCTATCCTTGGGGTCATCATCCTGGCCAAGCTGCCCACGGACACTGTGCAGCAAGGCTGCTGGAGGGAACAAGATCAGCAGGGTGACGGGGTTGCTACAGGCACATGCCGGTGCACCTCGTCCCCATCCCCAGGGGCCCTGCCTTTGTTCCCCCCTCCCCAGGCCCAAGAAGTTGCTGTTGACACTGATATTGAAAACTGCTGCACCTCGGCCGTGAGCTTCACGGCCACCCTGGGCAACTTCCCAAGACCACCTGTGATGCCATCTCCAAGACCCACTAGCTCTCTGGCCCCAAACTGCTAGAAAGAGACCACATTCACCAAGCCTCCCCACCAGGAGTTCACTGACCTCCTCATAAAGCCTGCACCCGGCTCCGTGCAAAAAGCCAATTGTGACCGCCACGGAGTTGATGGGATACAAATAATAGAATAAGCTAAGCCCAGTCCACCCCCAATTAAATATAAGCTGTAACTTTTGAAATCACATAAATAATTATCTTTCAATAGTGTCAAGAGAAAATGTTTGTTAGCGAGCTTTAGTATATTTTCTCTTTCTTTGTTGGCTAGAAATGGACTTTGTATTAAATTATGATATACAAAAATAAGTTAAAGGTTGTCTTTTAATTTGGACTTAAATTTTCAGTACCAACTAAATCGCGTATTGTAATTAAAATGTTATGGTCTGGATCTGCAAGGGGGCAAGTGCAGAGAGGTGACTTTAAAAGTAGTGTGCTTTCCTTGCCGCCTCTACCCTAACGCCACCCGGAAGTTTGCGGCCTTTTAAAGGCACCAAATATTTGAGCACAGGTGGCTTTATGGCCAATATCCATCCCCAAAAGAACACTCTTTGGGTGAGACTATTGAAATTTTTATATGGGTTTTTACTTTAGTCAATATATTTTGGGGTTGTTCCATTAAAATATTGAATAACTTGAAAACTGCTTACTTTTTATTTTGCATTCAGTATGGAAATTTATTCCCAGAGTGGAGCTTTTCTGATGCAAAATTGGAATGCTTGTGTAGTCACAACAGCTGTCCCCACGCCATGTGGCATCTTCCATTACTTGACTACAGAGATGAATTTTGGCCCAGTGTTTCAGTAATATTGGACACATATGGTTTTAAGTGGCAAAGCAGTATGCTTATGCATTCATTTGACTTTCACAGCTACAGTTGGCTGCAGATTAGAACAGGGAGAATACATTCACACCACGGCCACCCTCATGCCTGCTGGAGGAGCTGGATCACAGGAGGCTCTGTTGCTTCCAAAGACACAACTCACTATTCCTGAGGAATTACACACTCACGGAAGTGCCGTACAGCTGTAGGGGAAAGCATAATGGCTTGTTGGAAGGGTTTCCTCGGAGACTGTGGATTATGGCCCAGCTATTATTGATGTCATTGGTCGTTTGCTTTGTGCGTATTAATAATAAAAATAATGGCCCTAAAGTAACGATGAAATAAAAGGAAGCACAACCCCAGCAGAAGGTGATTTCTGTGGACACCAGTCCGAATATGTGGTGGAAAGTTGTCTCCTTCTCAGCAAAAAGAGGCACTGGACTTTGAGACACGTATTATTCACCAGGTTGGTTTTTCATGCTTATTGTTCGTCGAGGTACCATATTCAAAAAGCCAATTCCTTTGAAATAGAAATTTCTTTTAGAGAACTCATTCACTCTGCAAAGTAATGTTTTATGTTTTTGCCATTTTCAACAATTTTGTTTGCTCCAGAAATGTTTGTTATGATCAATACAGAAATAAGATTACTCGATTGACTATGAAATGCATTGATAATGTGAAGTGGTTTGAATGCCGTCGGTTGTCTTCAAAGAATTCAATACGATGCATATGTAATTTTAACTTCTGGCCGCTCCTATTTAAAACTTAACTCTTGCATTCCTGAAACTCATTTGGAATACTTAGTAAAGCTTCGGCTTCCTAGCGCTAAAAATATGATTTTCTTGAGAATCAAATTACATTCCTAACAGTAAGATCTTTTTATTGCTCTTCTGAATAAAATACGACTAAAGAACGATCCTTTTCCCCGACTAAAGTAAGAGCAAGCAAAACGAAAGAAATCGCAGTGTAAAATGTTAAATTATCTGACATGAAGAATTAGATTTCTGATGTTCATTAAATATCAAAGAAATTCCGACCATTCCCAGTGCAGGCTCTTTTTATATAAGTGAATTTATGCATGTATCCTACAGATCATACAGATGAATATGTTTGAGTCTTTCAGCTTTTAGTGGATACAAAGTAGAATGATTGATAAAATCCTCCCTACTATTGGCTATTATTTACTGACTCTTAAGTGGCAGGTTGTATTTATGCCAATTTATCTGCTTCAGGGAACATTCTTGATAGCAGAACAAAGTGAATAAAAGTAGTTTGCTTTGCAAATGAATGCAAATGGGAGAGCCTTTTCGGAAAGCCCTTTAACTGGGGCAGTGCACTTTGATTATGAGTGAAGCTGCCATTTGGACGTGGTGAAAAGAGCACGCTTGAACCATTGATTGGGGGAGACAGTAGAAAGTCAGGAAGGGCCCGTTAAGCTTGCAGTGAGGCAGGCGGATGTCAGTGTGGTTAGCGCACAGTGGGAGAATGACAGGGAGGATTAGTGTCAGGGAGAAGCTTTGCTGTAGCTGTGGAGATAGTCCCTGGGGTCACTCACCTCTGACTGTTGTTCTGTGCTGATGGGTCTGTAACGCAAACTGCCCATGTATGCCTGTGCTTCATCGGAAATGGTGATTAGAAAAGGTATTTGTCTCAAAGGTTTCTTTCTTCCTCCCTTCCTTTCTAATTAAAGGAAAATAAGGTAGACTTCCTGTATCTCTCGAGTATTATTTAATACCAGAGCGGTTCCCGCCTCTGGTGAGTGATTGTCCGGTGGTAAACTGTAATGTGGAAGAATGGCAACAGGGTCATTTACTAATAGTTCCTGTTGGCTTTGCTACGTTTTGGCTTTGACCAGCGCTGAGTAAACTGTGGAGAGTATGCTGGCTGGTGGGATTTGTGCGTTTGAGGTTTTTCCGTTCCCGCAAGGTTGATTCAGCTTTATCAGTTGTCAGCTTCTAGAAGACAGTAGCCATCTTGGAAATGAAGTGTTCTGCATTGACTTCATGATATAAGGCTTGATTGTGGCCTTCTCTACTTTTATTTCTATTTCCAGGTTTTTATGAAAAGGCAAGCATTTCACTGTCAGCACGACCAACTTAGAGTTCTTGGAAATGAACCTCAGTCTCAGTTGGGGTTCTAATAATTCAGCATATTTACTTGTTCGTCTTTTCATTTATACTTAGTCTTTCTTGTTTTCTCGAAAATGTGGTTTTTCTTGAGGCTCATACCTCGGAGCACTAGTGCGTCAGGTGTTGATGTCACAAAGTACCCAGAATGGTTCCTCGCTTGAGAATAAAACGGAATTGTCTATTCTTGCCATTATTTTTGTCTCCAAACTCCTGGCTTCTGAACATCTCTGCTTTTTAGTTTCATATACAAAGGAAAATATGAAAGCTGCCGGAGCTGCTGCCCCTTATAATGTTAAATATGAAACGGCCTTCCTATAAACTGCTGGGTGCATTTTAAAAGGCGGAAGATTTATATGATTTGAAGAGAAGCCAAAGTACGGGGTGCACTTTAATATTGTTGATGTGCAGAAACCATATTGCCAGCACTTTGCTTCACAGGCTTGTTAAATGTTTTAGCAAACCTTCTCCTGATTATTTATTTATTTTTAATGTTGCAGGCACCTGAATGGACAGAAGAGGACCTCAGCCAGCTGACAAGGAGTATGGTTAAGTTCCCCGGAGGGACCCCAGGTCGATGGGAAAAGATCGCCCATGAATTGAGTCGATCGGTGACAGATGTGAGTGTGCTCTGATTTACCTTGTATGGAGGGGACAAACCAGAAGAAGCAAGAGTCCGTAGAAGGCAGACATGGGATGGGTCCAACATTGTCTTTGAAGGGAGGCTATAGTCCTTGTAGAACCTGCGAGCGAACCATTAACGAAATAAGCGAGAAGCAGATGTCAGTTTAGTCCCCTGGTCCACAGTTAACAGCTGTAACTGATCAGTGGGGGGGGGGGGGCTATGGATTCTTGTGCTTAGAGACTTAAGCTACTGTAACCTAATCACAGAAAAACAATGCCAGTTTTTGTGTTTAATAGTGATTTCCCTTTAGCTGTAGAAAAGTTTTCAGTCTGAGCAGAGTTGGAGAAGTTGTATTTCAGCTGGATCTTTTTAATAGTGAAGTGTAGCTTGCTGTTGGTATTTAGACAGGTGGTTTATATTAATTAAATGAGCCGTACTCCTGTAATCCAAATGGACTGCTTGAATTTTTACTTCAAGGTTGATATCAACCCTCCATTTTGACAAATTGCTTAGTGGGGAGGTGCATGCGTGCGTGCGTGCGTGATGCATGGCTGAACCTAACGTTTAATTGATAGTGTTTACATGGAAAATTTGGGGCTTGGCATTTTGGGTGCTTTTATTTAGGAGACTTGGGACAAAGACTGCTAGAGCACACAGCATAGTGCCTAATATACTGAATATTCAGAAATGTTTCATTGAAATCGAGGGACTCATAACATTCGTGACTAAATACATTCTTTCCTAGATTTACATAAATCCTACAGATCTAAGATGTTTAAGTTATTGTTGAACAAAACTATTCAAATATTCCCTTTAATTCTTTTGGCATACTTTCGGGTCTTTTTTTGGCAATGAACAATAAAAACCCTGCAGAATGATTTATAAAGGCGGCTACAAAGAAGAGTGGTTTGTTCCATAAATACAAAAATTTATTTTCCAGAGTAAATTTCTACTGTTTTATTTAGAAGCAGATACACAGAACATATTATTGCAGTGATTTTTTTCTTTTTGTGTGCATATGTGTGTAGAAGATGAACTGGGAATTTTTAATTAGATATGTAAACATTTTTACTAGTGTACGGTCTTTTTAAAGGAATGCTATTTTAAATTTTTTTAAAATTTTTGCATTAATCTAGCTTCAGCAATTAATCCAGTTACATGGGGGAAATTACCATCGTAGCTTATAACAAACCACTTTTTTGTTCTGTTTTATTTATCTTGAGTGATTGGCAAAGAACCCAAAGGATACTTTTTCTTTTGCTAAGAATGGCCCTGAGATGTGTGTGGTATTATCTTGTGTTAAGATTGTTTCTAAAAGATAAATTAATAGTGACTTATCGGTAAATACCTGACAAAATTAAAGAAATTTCTAGATCTGGGTGTTTTAATTTAAGTACTGTGTCCCTTGAGCTGCACAACTATCCAGAGATTGGTAAAAAAAAACGACTCCCCTGGTATGTCGGAAGTTATAAAACATTGGCTTAAAAGGGCCCCAAAATTTCAGTTCAATTGCTTACTGAAAACAAAAAACAAACAAAAAAAAAACCTTCACTAATTATCTCCATTGAAGATAGCACCATCTTTAACGTGGTAAATAATATTTTTCTGTGGCCTCACATTTAATAATGGCAAGGGCACATAGGAAATTGATTTCAATTAATTTACTCTCATTAAAATCTAGTTAAATTTGCATCAGTGCTTTTAAGAGTAGAGAGATGGAAATTTAAAAATGTTTAGCATACACATGATATAGGCAACAGATCTTTGAGATGGCTTGTTAGTATCATATATACAGAAAATCTATATATAATTTATGAGAGTAGTCTGTGCAGGCAAAAGTATTGTTTCAGTTTTGTTTCTTCCCCTAGATCTTACCCCAGGGAGACTGCTGTTATATAATAGAAGGCAAACCAAACGTAATGCTGTCGAGTCGATTCCAGCTCATAGCGACCCTGTGGGACAGAGTAGACCTGCCCCCGTGGGTTTCGACAGAGCTGCTGAGAGCCACTGAGCACTGGGCACTTTCCACACTGTGCCACGAGGGTGCCTGAGTTAGAATAAATAGTTTTATTTTATCGTGAAAGTGACAAACGTGACTTTGTGAGGGTTTTGGTAGTGCTGTTGGTGTTTGCCAAGTACTAGTTCTATTTTCTTAATACCAAAATCCCTTGGAAATAAGCATTTGGTACCCAAAAAGTCATTGTAATTTGCTCCCCCCCCCCATGTCAGCTACATTGATATAGACTCCATATATGTTCATTCTGTGAGCATCATCTTCATAGCTGAACTGCACACAGGAAAACTTTAAGTCACTCTCTAAAAGAGAGCAGGCATCTGAGAACAGATCATGTATGCCTTCCTAATGGCATAGGGACGGCTTTGGAATCACACACTGGCGCCGCTGAAGGAGGTTCTGCCCGCACAGATCCTCTGTCAGTGGACGTTAACCGCACTAGATCGCTCCTTCTACTTTGGGCCCGATGGTGTGAATTAGATTTGTTTTCATGAAGTGTCTGATTATGAAAAAGAAACCCCTTTCGGTGTGCTGTAATCAGAACCTCAGCATACTGGCCGGATCACCTGTTCCACCTCTCCTGTCTTTGCGCATCTGTTCTTTGACCCTTCTTCCGGCTGGATTTGTAGCTGCAGGCTTAGCTCCCTTCCCTTGAGAAGCAGTTGACCTTTTTTTGAGAGGGCTGGGAGGGGAGCGGTGGTGGGATCTACACGTCCTTTATTTGAGTTGACAGATTATAGTGAAAAGTCTTATTTTATTCATCAATTAAGAAAGGAGTCTTCAGTATGTTAATTGTCATCGTTAACATAGTTAGACTGCTGAAATCTGCTCCTGACAAAAACAAGCCAGGTGATTATTATTTTTAATCCACAGAAAGTATATTTTAAGACAGACCTCAACTGTAAAACCTGCTTCATTACAGATTAAATGTTTTCAATGTTAATGTATGCCTTTCAGCAAATAATTTTGGTAGCCACAGAGGGCACTCAAATTATAAAAACAACAGAGGAAACAAATACTGTCTGGCATGGAAACCCAGCTTTAATGTGATTATTAGCTGCAGGTTTTCTTCAGTAAGGTCAGGGAGCACTCGGGTTTCTTGTTTGTGAAGTAATATCATTATCCTGCCTGAAAGGATGTAAACCGATTCTGCGGCTTTCTCTGCTCCCTAATCTCTTGCATTCTGGTTGTGATAACAGACTGGTGGGAGATTTTCTGCCCGCTAGAAAAAGGCCCAAGTAGGCAGCAAAACAAAAGACAGGTGGAGGGATGGAAGCAGACTCTCATAATTAGCTTAGTGCCCCCAGTGTGAGGTCAGGAGTGTGTAGTTTGGTAAGAACCTCTCTATATGAGAAAAGAGGAGAGATGTTAATAACCCCCCCCTTTTTTTTTTAACTAACTAGAACTGGAGAGGGACCAAAAGAACTATCAATTTGGGGCGAGGGGGTTTGCGGGGTGGGGTGCTTGTGCATTATTATTATGTTTCCAAAAGCTGAAGCAAATTGTTCTGTGCCATTGGATCGGTAGCAGGTTACTATGGTTTGGTGCCAGTGTACAGAACAAACCTGGTTCCCATGCAGCGGTGTGTGTACCCTTTATTTCATGGCCTGACTTGCAGTCCCCTCAGCATAGCCAGCACTTGCTCTCTGGCCTCCCCCGGGGGTTTGGGTGGCCATTGGCCTTCCTTCTTGTCTCCTGAGCTTTATTGTCGCCCATTGGGTCTCCTCGGAACTGTATTCTGGAGCAAGTGTCGCCCATCGGGTCTCTCAGGTTGATCCGAGGAGAGGCGTGCGCTCCCTCGTGGCAGAGTCGCATTGCCTCGCAGCAGACTGAAAGGCTGTCTCGGGGAGTGGGTTCCGTGCCAGCTTTGAAGGGTATGTGAGGGCAGAATCTGGCGTCCCACTAGGCTTTGTAAGACTAGTCAGTGTGGTCTTTCTCATGGGTTTGCATTTGACTTACATTCTCCCCATTCTGTCCAGGACCTTCTCTGGAGACCCGACCTGGTCTAGGCTGTCTCGGGGCCATCAGCCCTGTGGACTCCTGAGTTCCCCAGTCTTTGACTGTCTTTACTCTTTTGGGGAGAGACCAATAGTTGCATCTTATATCGCAGCTTGCAAGCTTTTAAAACCTCAATATGGTGTTTCTTTTTGGCAACGAAAGCATTGGTTTTGCTCTCAGAATCAGACTAATCCTACACGAAAACATACAGATGATCAGGAAGTTTGTTTCCTATAGCAGTGTTCTTGTTCTGAGCCTAAGCTCACAACTTTTCTCCTTCCCTCCCTCCCTCCCTCCCTCCTACCTTACAACCTTTGAGGAGATTTAACATATTTCTGCTAAGCTACGCTAATCTAATAACCACCTCGCATTGCTATCAAATCAATTCTGACTCATAGCGACTTTCTGTAGGTTTCTGATACTGTAGATACAGCTCTACGTGAGCTCATTGAGGAAGACACGGTCGATGTGGTAGGGCTTCGTTCCCTGTTCCTGCCATCACCTGGGGAACAAATCAGTCAGGAACCTGTCACGCATCACCATGGCTGCGAAGGATGCCAGAAAGACCCCTGAGGAACCAGAGGTGGACATGCACCTTACTCTAGCCAGCCGCAAAATCCCTGGAGACAGTGTGAGCTGGCTTGATCAGAGGGACGAAGCTGGAAGAACTGCAAGGGAAGGGGCCAATTAGGGTGCCTGCCAAGACTCCGGGAATCGGGAGCAGGAAGCTCCTCACGGCACAGGTTGTAAGACCTGGATCTGCAGGAGTCTCATCGGCTTGCACAGTCCTTCTGACACGGCCGGCCAAGCAGATCGCTTCCATCAGGACTGAGCCGGGAGTAGTGAGTGCATTCACCATTGCAGATGCCTAAGTCAGTTATTGTAATAGATGGATTATTTATTGGTTAAAAAAATCTTTATGGGAGCAAGCAGTCTCATCTTTATCCTGTTCAGTAGTTGGTGTGTTTGAGCTGCTGACCTTG